TCTTGTCATTTTAGATTACAAATTGCCTACATTCAGGCATTCTGTCTTATACTAAAAGCAGAGCAGATTGAAAACTGGATTACAATGTTCAAAATCTGTACTTGATCCCATGTAATTGTGATATAGCCTTAGATATGTCCATTTATTTCCACCTTTATGAATATAGACCCCCATCTTGCTGCTTTAAAAGGCATTAGGATTTGGTGCTTGCCTTGAATGAAAGAAGCAAAGCCCTAGCCTGTTTCCTTGCACTGAAAACACATACCCCCCCCATATATGTGTAAAAACATATTGCAAAATTGTATGTACAAAAAATGATATTAGGAGAAACAGGTGTAGTAATGTGTATATGAAAGTTTTGAGAGAAAAAAATAAACAATTAAACAGATAAGCTTTAGTTGTTTTTTTTTTATTCCCACCAGTGCCAAGTACAGTGTTGCCTTGGTAGTAAAACAAAATTCACTTTTTTATAATCAAACAATTTTAAGTAGGATTGTTTAATTGAATACAATGTATGTGATTTTATATTAAGAAAAAAGGAGAGAAAAGTTACTGTATTCGATATTCATATTAGTAATTATTATTGCATACATATCCTAAATTTTCTAGTACAAAAAAGATTTCAAATGCTCTACCACTTTCTCAAATCTGTGTCTTAACTAATTTAGAAATTGAGGTATCACCTTGGCTAAGACTTCATTAATGCCTTTTAGACAGGTACTTTTGAAGTTAGATGTTTGACTTTTAGATGTGAACAAAATAGGAAATTCACATTAAAGAAATTTTAAAACTGTATTTTTGCTTAAAAAGTAAAGATCAGATATTCTTAAAAACACATTCTAACCTAAGAAAAATATACCATGAAGAAAAATCAAGATTTTAATTAGTGTTTAAGAACTCAAGAGGGGAGTGAGCTAGAGAAAGGTTTCAGTTGTTAAGAAAGCTAACTACTGCTTCAGAGAAGCCAGGTTCATTTCCTAGCACCCACATGGACGTTCACAACCTTTTGTAACTCCAGTTTCAGGAGATTCACAAACTCTTCTGGCACCTGTACACATGTGTTCACATATAGTCACACACAAATAAGGAAAATAATAAAAAAAAAATTAACAAATGAAACAAAGAAGCTGTTTTAAGTTATTTGGTATAAACCTGCTCTGAAAACCTAGAAATACTACAGTAAACTAGTGAAAGGAACTGAAATGCTCTAGTTATGTGACTTATGTGGCAATAAATGAGGGCATGCGAAAGCTGTGGCCTGACTAACAGTGAATCTCCTAGAGATCAAGAATGTGAACTCTCAGATAAGGTGTCTACCATCATACATGCATAAAGTAAAAACCATCAAGTACAAAACCAAAATAAATAAAACTTATTCAAACATATAAATTATGTATCTAAGTTGGACACGGTAGAGAAAATAATTATAATAATTTTGGTCAGATTGCTCAACTTATTATGGTCAGAACTTGAAGTTTTGAGTTCAGATTTTTAAAATATTTAATGTATTCAATTAAAAATGTGGTAGCAAGATTAGGGAAAGATTTGTTAAAATAAAGGATAATATTTCTACAGCTAATTATTTAACAGCAACTGCCATTCTTTGTAGTATCTATAGATACCAAATTAAATGGACAGCAGTTAAATTCATGTGACCAGAACACATGCTAGAATATTTGACTTAATTTCTGAAAAAGTGGAGTTTCTAAGCATAATTTGAAGTGGGAATTATTGGAGAGGTAGATATAAATAGCAAACCCTGTCAATGGCCCCTAAAGGATAGATAGTGAGAAAGATAGGGAGTGAAATGAGCGGAAGCATTACTGGACATGTAAAGACCTTTAAAGATGGTGCAGAGCTGAGGCAGTGCAGACTCAGTGAGGTACACAGGAAGGAAAAGTAAGTAAAATCCAGAGAAGGAAGAGTGTTAAATATCTTGTGAAAAATTCCAAAATTCTAAGAGCATAACTTTTTGTGGAACAAAGTGGCGAGACTACATGGCATTTGTTCGCCAATCTTTTTTTTTCAATGTATATTTTTATTGATTTTTAGTGCATTTCATACAACAGATCTTAATCACATTTAGATAGACCCTTCCCCTTTATGCACCACCCCATAGCCTGCCCACAGGATTGCATCTATTCCTTCATGTATGTGAAGGCCTATCGTGGCAAGTTTGTGTCCCCAGAAGTTCCTTGATGTGAGATCATCTATTGGAGCCTGGTCAACCTATCTAGTGTCATTCCCTTAAAGAAGACCAACTCTCCCTCATCCAGCAGTGATCAGCTGCCAATAGTTCTTTGACTAAGGATGTGGCCTCCTGCGCATTTCCCCAGCTCTATGCTGGTTTTTTGTCTGCTTGAGTTTACATGGGTCTTATTCATGCTGGCACCCATTGCTGTAAGTTCGTATGAGTAATTTCCCAGGAGCCTGGAAGATTCAGCTTCCTTATAGTCATGTACAACCCTGGGCTCTTAAAATATTTCAACTCCAGAGCCCTGGGTGGGTGAGTTTTAATACGAGTCCTATTCAGAGACACCACATTTTACAGTCTCTTATTCTCTATGCTTTGGTCACCTGTGGCTTTCTGTGGTCATTACCCTCTATTGCATGAGGAAGCTTCATTGGTGAGAGTTGAGAGATGCATTAGTATTCTCTCTCCCTTCTGCTCCACTATGTTCCACGAGCCTTAATTGTAGAGGGGCCATTGTAGATGTGTCCCTTAGGGCTGGGCATCTTAAATTGTTCCCCAATCTTTGATTGTCACAATATGGTTTATAATTTTTAAGCTTTAAATTAGAATGAAGATTTATTTTTTCCATAACCCTGTGTAGTTCTGTTTATATTCTCCAGGGCACAGTTTAGCTACAAGTGTCTTTGTCTTTTGGACTGTTTGAACTTCTAGACTCCTTAAAATTGGAGTTACCCATTTCAAGGCCTAACACAAGAATTTGTGCATTTAGGGTAGACACAATAAGAGTTACACTTAGCTATCTTCTGGATTAAATTCTAAATTTTGTTTGAATAATAATATGTTTCCTTAGTGATTCCATGTCTTTGAGAAATATTTTTCATGAATGTTTGAGTTTTCATATTCTTTGTTCAGTTGAGAGATATTTAAACAATGCATCTTCTGTCTAGTATTTAGCATGTAATTGGATTTTAGAATGTGAATAGAATGAAATATATAATTACACCAACTGGGCAACAAACAGTGCTGTGTAATTAATAGAAATACAGGCCAAAAGACTCAGAAGGAAGTGTAAGTAGGACGAGAGAATGGAATTTGATTTTGACATATTCTCACATTTATTATTAATGCAGGATTAATTATGAGATACAATTTTAGCTTCCTTACAAGCAAGACAGAAGACTTTCCTGGCTCCAAACTTTTGATGTTTGTGCCATTTCTAACTCAAAAATGCCCCAATTTCCATCCCATCTTTTCTCCTTAGTAAATATATCTCTAAAGGTCGAAAAACAAATTGCACATTCCCCATAACTTTCCTGGATCTCTGTCCTTGGGATTAGTATTAGTTTCTCCTCACTATACTGTTCTTCTATGTCAAAATTTAGAATCAGTGAATTCAAAATTTAAAGTTAAAAGTGGACCTTAGAGTTGGAAAGGTGGCTCAGCAGTTGCATGCATGCTACACTTGCAGAGAGAAGCTGAATTTGAATCTCAGCACCCACATCCAGCAATTTACAACTTCTGGTAATTCTAGATCCAGGGGCATCAGATACCTTTAGCTTCAGGAGGCATCTTCATTCACATGTACATAATCACACATAGATGTATACACATAATGTAAAAATAAAGGGCCCGGAGAGAAGGCTCAGAAGTTAAGAGCACTGACTGCTCTTGCAGAAGACCTAGGTTTTATTCCCAGTACCCACATGATAACAATCACCCATAACTCAAGTTCCAGTGCATCCAACACCCTCTTCTGACGTCTGTGGGCACTGCATGACACGAGTGCACTTATACATATGCAGGCAATACATTCATACACATAAAATTAAAAAATATTAAAAAAAATTAAAATAATAAAATTTTCAATACATCTTTGAAATGGTTCAATTTAGCCTTTTTAACTTAATATGTGAATAATATAATTCGTTATCATTTCCCTATGGTAGTAGAATCAATTGTGGATATGTACTTCTTCCCCAAGGATCTTGTTATATAGATCTTTAATGGGTGTTGTCTCCATGTTTGGTATGTCAAGATTTAGAGGGTATTCTTTCCATCATTTTTCAACAGAAAAGCTTTACCAGTTGCTGCACAGAGAAGTGACCCAGCAGAATCATTTGATATTTTGTGTAGAGCATGTGAGGTGGGGCTGAATTTCCTGGTCCCTGCTGTGCAGCATGACTATGTTGATGAACCATAACAAATCAGACAAACTACACATTTTTGTCTTGTCTAACTTGGCTGCACTCAGATTAGGTTTCCCCTTCTACCCTCCTCTTTTTCCCAAACAAAGAATTTTCTTCCATGTAACTATTGTTAATACTTGAAGTAACAGTAAATTATTTAACATCTATTCCTGTTCCCTGTGGTCACTTATTCCTCATAAGATCCTCAAAGAACTGGTAGTTTTCCAGAAAATACTCAAAATCTTGGAAACAAATGATCATCAGTGATAGTCTGACATAGGCATATTGATAGAGAAGTTTGTAAGTATCATTTAGAATAACTAAACTGAACCTTTTGGGACATAATGTCTTAGTAAGGAAGAATACTATGTCATTGATTTCAAAATCATGATCATTTTACCAAATAAACATAAGACAAATTATAAAATGCAATCATTTCTGTCACATATTAACTACCACAGACTCTCTCTCCATACATCAACTATGAACCTATATTGACTTACATGACTGAAATTGGAGACTATTTTTATGTTAAAGCACTGAATGCAAAGAAAGAAAATTATCATTCAAATGTCATCCTAATGCATGAATTATATTTCTCTTTAAAGTCATCCTGTACCATGCTCGCTTAGGAAGCACATATACTAAAACTAGAATGATACAGAGAAGATTAGGATGGGCCCTGAGCAAGGATGACATGCAAATTCATGAAGCATTGCATATTTTTCATGGAACATAACAAAATAAGGGGTAGAGAGACAGCTAATGCACCTCTCAACTCTCACCATTGAGGCTTCCATGTACATTAGAGTGTGATACACACAGAAGGCCACAATTGGCCAAGTTTTGGAGAATAAGATACTGTAGAGTGTAGGATGGGACTCCTATATGGAACCTCACCCACCCATAGCTCAGGGACCAATTGCAAAGGAGGTGGAAAGATTGTAAGAGCCAGGGCTGGTTCATCAACATAAGGAGGTAGAGGCTTCCAAGCTATTGGAGGCTTGCTCATGTGAGCCTGTGGCAGCAGTAGCATTGAATGTGGAACCCATTGTCAGCTCAATCAAACAAGGGCCCAAAGGGGAGGTGAGAAATTTGTGGTGGGACAGCACTAGGTTGAGAAATATTTGAGACTGATTGCTGCTGGGTGAGGAAGAGTATGACTTACATACGAACAGTGGATGAGCTGACTAGACTCCAGTGGATGCATTTACACTGAAGGACATTTGGGCACGAACACCTGAATGAATA